AATAAAATTAATAAAATATATATTACACTATATTTTTCATATTATTATTATATTACTAAAATTAATATTTAATATTTTTTTAAAGAAAATAACATTTTTTTAAGTTCGCAGGCAAATTTGCCTGCTAGACAATTTAAGAGATAATAAAGAACTGATTTTTATAAATTTTATAGTAAAATAAGAAACTAAGAAAGAGTCCAATTAACAACCTGCAAAAAAATTCACTATTGAATATAAGCATTTTTTTAAATGTTATTATGGATGAAAATATTATGTAAATATATTATTAAAAAAACCTGTCTTTATATGTTTATATGTGTAATTGCTTCATTAATATTAATAGATTTTTAATTTGTGGTCTAACTTTAATAAAAACTAAAAAATTTATTTTAATAACCCTTGTAAAATAACAAAATAATATAATAAAAATTCCTTGAAATCCAGGGTTGCTATGTAGTGAAGTCAAAAACTTATAAAGAAAATAATAATAAAAATATATCAAAATAATGCTTGAAATTTTTTACATTATATTTATTTGGTATTCTATGTAATATGTATCATATGCGTATACTTCTATTATAGATCACGAATTAATTAGTGATTGTGGTCGAATAAATCTGAGACTGAAAAATAATTAATTATTATACAATTATTAATTAGGAAATTTCATATCAAGTAAAATACCTGATATTGATCAGAGACGATTTTTTATTGTAATGATATAAAATAATTTTGTGTGTGATGTAAATTAATTTTGTGTTATTTTGTGATCTAATTTTTATTAATTTTGTGTGATTTTATGTAATTTTGTAGCATTTTTTATAATATTTTATGATATTATGTGAAAATTTTTAATAATAATTTTTATTTTTATTTACAATTAATAAAAAAAAATTAAATTTAATCATTCTGATTAAAATACATCATATTTAGTTGTTTAAGTAATCCTTTTGATAAGTTTTGATAATCATTATTTAAGAGAGTATTATATAAAAAAAAACTATACCTTACAGCACAATTTGATATAGGTAATCAAATATAATTCAATGCTATTTGAGAAAGAATTGGTAAATGCATTGCTAAATTATTTTAATAAACATTCAATTTATTTTCTTCTATATTTTTATCAAATTTCAATCTACAATAAATATTCCATTCATATAACAAATCATCAGAAGGATTATTAAGTTCTTTAATAATTGAATATTGATAAATACTATGTCATTAAATATTATTTTCAAGATGCATGTATTTAGAATCAAAAATATGAGCTGTATAAAACAAAGGACGAGTTGGATGATTTGAAATATATAATTTAAATTTTTTAAATACTGTCTAAAATGCCGTTTGAAAAATAGAATAGACTACTGATAGATTAAAGTGAAGACTTATTATAAGATTCTTAAGTTCTATACCAAAATAAGCAATCATCTGATTAGATTCAAGATAAGCTGTAAGATTTGTTAATCTTATTTCAACAAATGGAAAAACTGTTTTTTTTTGTTGTTGAAAAAAATCCAAATCTTAAATAAATGCTTTAGCATAAATTGAAATAAAATTTGTATAAATTATAATAATTTTTAATTGTATATTTTGTAATATTGAATAGATAGTACCAATTGTTTCATTTTTCAAATCAACTTCATGTTTAATTTTGTAAAAATCTTGCCAATATGGAATGTGTTCTTTAATGTAAAAAACCATTTTAAACCAACTATTCTATCACATTTTGTTTGGTAATAGAATTTTATATAGAGTTGCAATACCATTCATATGTAAATGAGTTAGATATTGAGCTTTTCGTGCAGGAGATTTCACAAATAAATCCTTTACTTTAGCCAAAAAATTCTTTAAAATTGAAAATTGTGAAAAATTACGCTAAGTTTCACTAAAAAAAATTTAAAATTTAATATTTGTAATAATTAATAAATAATTATAATATAAAAATTTTAATTTAAATAATTTATCTAATTAGATTTAATATATAGTATGTGCAGGTATAGTAAATGTATTAATTATGACATAATTAGTTTTAAAATATCCTGATAACACTTCTTCATATGTGCAGCAGAATTAGAGAAAAATAAAAAAGGAAGTTTCAAAGGAACATTATAAAAAAGTAATATAGGAAGAAGTGTCTGTATAATTGTTAAATTATTAACTTATTCTAAAAAATCAACAGATACTAATTTAGTATCTGAACAATATGTAAAAAAGGTATTAATTACACTTTGTGCATAATCATTACTGCTTTCATCTATAATAATACAAACAGGTTTAGCATTAAAATTATTTTTAATGCATTCACATATTTATTAAAAACTTTGGGTAAGTATAATTGGCATAAAGTTAGTGCTTGAGAAATTGCTTCTTTCTCTTTAAGATGTTTTTTAAAAAAAGTAAGTAAAAGATTCACTTTTTCTAATAGAATATTGACATTAGCAAATGCTTTTATTAAATCTTCTATTACTTCTTTTTTTGATTCTGAGACAAGTAAGAATGATTGTAATGTTTGTTGACTTTTTGTCTTTTCTTTTGTTTCAAAATTTTTTTTTTATAAAATATGTTTTTTACTTATACAATATGCATTAATTATTAATTTATACTTCCATTCTACTGAAAGATCGTAATAATTACAAAAAAGTAAACTATCATTAATGCGAAATACTTCTTTGTATTCAGCAACTTGAATATAAGCTGTAATAGAATAGACTTTTTGTCTAGACGCTATTTTAATAAGTTCATCTATGATATCTATAATTTTTCTACTTATAATTTAGTAGATTTACATTGTTAAAAGATTATCTATACTGCGGATTATGTGTTTTATTGTGAATATTTTATGCATATTTATACATATTTGTGCATACAATTAATATGGATCAAATTTTTGTGAAATTATGTGATAACTAAGGTGGCCTATTTTCTGTAGTGGTATAATATGTGTAGAAGTCATGATTTTTCGCAATAGCATATGCTGTCATGGATTTAATTAAGTTCACATTTTTCACATATCATATAACATATCTGTAGTTAAGATCTATAGATTAAGATCGTGATGCAAGATGTTTATCATTTTTTTATCATCTTTTTTTTATAATAGTTTCAGCAACTGAGCATAGACTTGAAAACTTAAAATATAAAAAGAATTTTATATTGATAGGCAAAAATTGTTTTGTGAATTTTGCCAAAATATCTTAGATCATAAAAAAAATCCACATTAGATACACATTTAAAATCAGATAAACATAAAAAAATGTACGCAAAGCTAAAAATAAAATAAGAGCTTGTCAAACTACTTTTAATGCTAATAATAATGAGTTAAATGAATGCAAAGTTTTTAATACTGCTTTAGTAAAAGCATTTATATAAGCAGATATACCACTTGAAAAAGTAAATAAACTTAAGAACTTTTTTTAGAATTTTGTAAAAATGGTATATTAAATCTATTTATTTTTTAATTTATCATTTAACATGTTATTAACTCACTAATTATATTATAGGTGGAGCTATTGCAGGTTCTTCTTTATTATGAAAAAAATATTTGTCAATTATCTTTAATATGGAGATTTCTAGCATGCAAGAAATAGTATATAATAGGCGTATATCTATTACTATTGATGAAACAACAGATATTTGTAATCGGACGGCTATCAATATAATGTTTAATTTTGATAACCAAACTAAATTAGTCAAAACAAAATTTTTGGATGATATCGTTAATAATACTATTATTGCTTAATTAGTTATAAGAACCTTACAATTTTATAATATTTCTCATGATAATCTTATTTTTTTTATTTCTGATAATGCAGCATATATGATAAAAGCCTTTCAAATATTATCTCCATTAATTCCCCAATTAAAGCATAACTGTTGTTTTGCTCACATTTTAAACTTAATTGGAGAAACATGGATTAGTTATAAAAGTTTCAAATTTCTAATTAAAATTGTAGCAAATATAAAAAAATTCTTTATTTATTATTCTGCTTGTAAAAGAAGATGGACTGTTTTTTTAAAATTCCTTTATTTCTTCTACCACAACTCCTTCTAATCAAAATTTTCATTTAATGCAAAGCGGTAAGTTAATTTTTATTCTTTATTTATATAAAAAAAATATATATATACAAATCTAATTTATATTTATTCATATAGTATTGTAGATGATCTTGAATTTTTTAAAATTAGAAATAAATCTATTGCTCCTTTTGTAACTCAACGCTTGACATATCTTGAGGCTACATTACAATCTGGCATTATTCAACCTCCTTTTAGTAATGAGATGTATACCAAATTTTTGGAAGAAAAAGTTGATTCATCAGTGTTTATTACAATGTTTCAAGAAGCTTATCAATTAGCTTTTAACAAGTTAAAAAAACATATTGACAATCATTTAGCATTACCTTTATTTAAAGCAATTCAATGCTTTGATCCACATTATATTCGTGCTCAACAACATCATTATAATATTAGTTTATATTCGGAAATTCAAGAATTTAAAAATCCAACAGATCAAATTATGCAAGAATGGAGAATTTTATTGTAGTTTGGAAGAGGAGTTTGATGATGGTGAGTTTGATTTAAATATCTATTGGAAAAACAAAATTAAAAGCTTACCGAATTTAGTAAGACTAGCCTTAGAATATATTTGGCTTCCGGTATCTTCGGCATATACCAATATTCTTAGTGATAGGCATGCTCTTTCAGAAAATTCAATTGCTGCTTTGAATTTTTTGTATTTTAATAATCAAAATTTGTAAATAGCAGTATAATAGATTTTAAACGCATTGTTTTAGCATTTTTTGAAAAAAATAAAAAAATTTTCGAATATACTTGTATATAAAGCAAGCATAATTTGAGTTTAACGTCGCAGAAAATGGGCCACCCTAGTATCATGTGACGATAACGAATCGCAACCAATCAAGTTGTTTCTTTATTAAACGCGCGGTCCAGTTTTTTTTTTTAATTTTTTTTTGATTGCAAATATATTTCTTACAAATATGTTATCAAGAGCAAAAAAACAAAAGGAAAACGAGGAATTGCCTACAAAAGGGCTTATTAAATTTACCAAAAATGTTAACCAAATTTCATTAAATGAAAAATTACAAGGCAAAGAAAACAACAAGATTAATCGTGTAAATTTTGAAGACCGTATGGAACAAATAAATGCTGAAGTGCTGCGAATTGCAAAACGTGTTGCTTTAGCACCGAAAGCTACTGTTAACATTAATACACAATCCGTTGAGACAAATTCCATTGCCAAGAAAAATAATGAAACAGAAAATCGACAGAAATCATTAATTGTGAAAAAAATCTTGAGTACTGTTAATAGTAGAGTCGTTGATAAATCAACAAAGTTACAACTTATTGATAATCTTCCAAAAAAAGAAGAGACCAAAGTATGGTGTTTAGATGATTTTGAAATGGGAGACTCTCTTGGTGAAGGACGATTTGGTCGCGTTTATATGGCAAGGGAAAAGACAAGCATGAAGGTTGTGGCCATCAAAGTAATATTCAAAAAGGAGATTCGAGAAAATAATATGGTGGAACAATTGAGACGTGAAGTGGAGATTCAGTCACATTTAAGACATCCCAACATATTACGCTTATATGGATATTTCCACGACAAAGATCGCGTGTTTTTGGTTTTAGAATTTGCTGAGAATGGAGAATTGTATAAACGTCTTCAAAATTATGGACCTTTTACAGAACGCCAAACAGCATGTTATATATCTCAGATCGCAGTTGCTCTTAGCTACCTACAAAAGAAAAAAGTCATTCATCGAGATATGAAGCCAGAAAATCTTTTGTTGTCAAATAATGATATAGTAAAGGTTTCTGATTTTGGATGGGCAATTCATACATCAGGTTTAAACCAAAGACGTACGACATTCTGTGGTACACCTGATTACCTGGCACCTGAGATGATCATCGAGAACTTAGGTTATGATCAAAAAATTGATTCATGGGCTCTTGGGGTGCTATGTTACGAATTTTTAGTTGGGAAACCCCCTTTTATGGTTGAGGATATAGGTGAAACTTACAAAAAAATTGCTACAGTAGACTATAAAATACCAAATCAAATTTCTCCAGAAGCCAAAAATTTCATTTCATCATTATTACAATCTGATCCTGAGAAACGCTTGCCTCTCGATCGTATCGCAATTCACCCATGGATTTTGAAGAACAAGTAAAATTCCGGATCTATATAGTTTTATGTGCTTATTTATTGTTGAAATCTGGGAAATACTAAAATCAATACATTAAAAAGACAAAATAAACGCATCATAAAATAGTACCAAAATAATCAATATCACGTGATAATTCAAATGACTTTTAAGAGAGACTTCAATAACTTCAATCTTTTTTTTTTTTTTTTGTGTAAAGAAAGTATAAATACGCGTAATTAACCATTATATATTTTTTGTATCACTATATAAAAAAGTTTTTAAAAAATTTTATTGTTTTGATTTGTCAAACTAAAATATCTTTAAGTTAATTATCTTTCGGTTAATTTTTTTTCGGTTAATTATCTTGTTCCAATAGTTATTTTGACACATTCATCGAACACCCCTGAGCTGGAATAATCAACATTCTTCCTTTTGAGATTATATTCATATACGATCTCAGTTGGATTCCACTATTTAATACCCCTACGATAGTTGTCTGTAGGATGGATCGGTACGGTCTTAGACCGGTTAATGGGACCGGACCGAATGGTACAAGACCGGTCCGGTCCAAAGAAAGATGAAAGACCGGCCTTTTTGGACCGGACCGATCCAACCCTAGTTGTCTGATTTGTTTTTGTGTTCTTTTGACCAATATGTATATGGTCTTTTAGTAAAGACCCTTGATCTTCCTTTTCAAGGGTCTTATCTATAAATTTCCAGTTCATTCGCGCCAAATTTATTTTTCTCATTTCTCACCAGACTAACTAATGAGATATATTTAAATTCTAGACTAATAATAGTATCCTGATCCCCTCATAACAAATGTCCGAGTAACAAAATCGACCTAATCCCCTTTGGCTTTTTGCCATCCATTATTAAAGAAAGTTCTGGAACACGATGTCTTAGCGGCAGAAGACTTTCGACAATTGCCTGAAGCTCAGGCTCATCCGCTGAAGACAGAGACATCCATGACCTTGTTAGTAGGAAGGTCTTTAGAAGTTTTATATATTGTGCATTATCGAAAAGTGAGATCCAAATCCAAACATTACATCATTCAGAAATCATGAAGGGTATGATCTTGGCATCAACGAGGCATATGCCGAAGCAACAAGGATTTCGTCATTTACAACATGTCTGTAAACTAACTTATCCTTGTTTTGTTCTAAAATTCGGCTTTGTTTCTTCCAAAGTTCTAATGAATGGTTATTGAACACAATTTAATAATTTAATAACATAAATGCAAAGGAAGGTAATATTTATATTATGACTTACTTACCAATAGATGAACCATCATCATCTTCTCTTATTCTTTTCGGTTCTTGAAAACCTTGAGAAAGATCTGGCAATAGGTTTTCTTTTTCACTCTCCTTAATTACACCTTGCCAATATTTTTGGAAATCTTTGGAAAAACGACGCGATTGTTCGCTTTTTATCTGTCATAAAAAAGTGCACAAAATTTTTTTATCAGTGATAAAAGGTACATAACCAGTTCCTCTTCCAGAATCAGCAGATTTTACCAACAACAAAGTTAGGGATTGAGAGCTTGGATGGATACCAAATGTGTCAACCCAGTAATTCTTCTGAGTCGACCGGAGTGAACTAGAAGTTACCCCTCCTTTACAAAATAACAAATTAACGCACCTTTTCCTTTAGAGCCGTGAAACTCTCTTGATCTAATATCTTTTCTGCTTCTATTAAAAAACTTGTAAGCCAAAATTTGTTGGGGTCTTCAAATTTTGTTGCAGATGCAACAATTATATCGCGATGTAGGTTCAAGAAACCACGATATGATGAATAACTTTTTTTCTATATAAGAAATATTGACTAGAAAGTCGAAAGGTTCGTTAATAGCTAAATATTACAAGTCGAAATACTGTTCACAGGACTTACCATTTCTGTCAGGGTAGTTATTGGAGGTGCTCCTGTTGATTAATTTCTTGACAGAAATTAATAAATTGTAAGAGTAGGGGTTGGGAAATTGGACAGTTTGGACAGGTTTTGGACAAATTTTCCAATGTCCAAAACCTTGTCCAAAAATATTTAAAATCAAAAAATGAGTCCACTGGTTTAACCGCTGACCTGACTCATTGACGCGAAAAATTAAATGACTATATCAGTCACTGGTCATTTCCAGCGCAACGCCAATCACTAATTAAAATTTTTGTACTACGTGAATTTGCCTATCTT